TAATCAAATAAATCATTCTTTGATTTGAATTTGATCAAATCAAATATTCAAATATCAAATCGAATTGCGGAACCCTATTTAGTACTGTAGGAGATAAGCCAACTGTTTAGTGAAATATTTTTTAGAGTTGATATATAAAAATAATTGGAAAGCTTTTCTTCTGAAGATCTTTGAGCGAAGGAGGATGATCGCATAATTTTATTTTTTGTTTAAAGATATAGATATATTATTTATGATGCATACAAGTGTTTTTAATATAGCAGAAGTATTAGAACAGATTTTATATTTCTTAGCGATAGATAAATCCCTCTATCCTGTTCTATTTGTTTGCTAATAGTGATACAGGTGCAGTGCTCCTATTCTATGGAGACGTATCGAGCTAAATGGTAAGAAAACAGAGGATAAATCTCAATTGGAAAGATTTATGAAATCAGTACATAATGTGGTATATCATTCATGGGAAGGATGAAAACCAATTTATAGCTTGAAATTAACTCATCTTAAAATATCGCACTACTGACTTTCTAATAAAAAATCAAAGGCATTATGCATATGTTTCTAAATGTAATTTATTTAGACTTTGAAAAAAGTATAGATTCTACTGGTAAAGCTCTAAAGCTAATAGTGAAATCATATTCAAATTTGGAGTATCTCAATACATCCACTAGGTGTTTTAATTGCATTAGACATAAAAGACATATTTATCAAATTCGAGAAAAAAATAATATAGGTTTATATGCAATCGCAAATTTATGCCATAAATTAGAATATCTAGATATTTCTCATTGTGAAAAGTTTACTGAAACATCAATTTGTAGTATTATTCATTCTTGCTCAAGGCTTCAACAACTTGATCATAGCTATTGTGAAATTACTGATATAACTATTGAAGAAATTGCTAGATTATATCTTAATTTAAAATATCTTAATTTAAGAGGGTGTTATAAAATCAGCAAAGAAGTTGTGAATCAGCTTGTTTTACTTAATCCAAATATTCATATCGAGAATTACGTGAAAACTTTAACTCTTTCTGATCTTATTGAAGTGGTTATAAATCATCTTACACAGAATAACGTTATTAATATACAGACTTTAACTTAAGGCCTTTAGAGCCTTTTAGATAATTTGCAGGGGTATTCTGATTCAGTGTTAGCTAGATCAACAACCCAGAGCAATAATCATTAGCTCAAAAGATTTTTTTGCATTTAGATGTGTCCTGTGCGATAAAAAAATATATAGATTAGTTAACCTATTCTAAACATGAGCACTAACTAGTACTAGTTGATTTTTGACGAAAATTTCGTGCAATTGTTGAGAAAAGACCTTCAAAAATAATGGTAGTCCTTCTCCAGTAAAGTAAAACATTTTTACTTCCCTATCGATAAATTTCTGTATTAATACACTCGAATGATAATAACCAGAGGAAGAAAAAAAAGGCATTTATTTTGCGTGTCATGACTAACATGTCTTTGACTATATTATTATCATATCAATAAAATAATATTCAGATATAGATATTTTTCTGGCGATCATTATGCGCATGTTAATCCTTCATCATTTTTATTGATTAGCAAAGAATTAATAAATGATAAACTGCAGTGCGTAATTGCTAATGATGATCTGGAGGAATCTCTTTTCCCAGGACATTTATCTCATACTATATAAAGATAGGTCAGTATCTTTTTTTCGAATCCCATTATTCAGAGAGAAAAAAGAATCAGTATGACAGATTCTGAATAAAATAACAAGCTGATTTTAGAACTGCTCAAGACGTTTAGAGAAAAAAACAGTACTTTCTTATCTGAGCATTCTTCATTTATTAGATATAGAAATCTTGGATATAATATCCTAAAAAATATCAATGATGACCTTGTAAAAGATAAAGAAATTCTGGAATTTGTGTCATGTTCTGAATGTGTGAATAACATTTTGACACGTCCTTTTAATGTCTTTATTACATTCTCATGCGAACATGTGTTTCATAGACTCTGTATTAATAAGAAGCTTTTACTTATCAAACCAAGTAGATGTCTATTTTCCGATTGTGAAAAGAATGTTGATATTATGGAACCAAATTTTACTAGGAGCAAAGTGAATGATTCACTATCATCTCAATCAAGTGAAACTTCGGTCTTATCCAATTTTATGGGTGAAAAATTTTCCTAACTTCACCAACAATACTGGAAAATCCAATAGAGGATATTGAGAATGCTTTATTTCAACAAACCAAAAGTCATTTAATATGTGTCAAATGTGCTGAAAAAATCACCCTAGATTTCCCAAAAGACACTGTATTTTTATCCTGTAAACATGTTGTACATTATGAATGTATTGACAATTCATATAAAAAATGCCCTTCCTGCCTAACAACTGATGATTTAGAAACTTCGGGTCTGAGTAATATGCAGAAAAAATGACCTAATAATTCAAGCAAATTAACTGAAAAATCGTCTAACAAGAGAATGAAAAAGACTGACGAGAAGAAAATATCAGATATGCTAAAAAACTTATTGAAAATTTATCCAATCCCAAAAAGACCCTCTGAAATATCTCAGGATTCGAGATTACAGAAAAGAAAACTGAGAATTTCTTGATCTGTACAATATAATCATTGATATAGAAGGGCAGAAGGAAATTGTAAAATGAGAAGTCATCAAATTATATTATAATTTTGAAAAAGCACTTGAAGATTGTTATGATTACTACAAGAAAAATAATTATAAGCAAATGACTCAGACATTGGTAAATAAAGAAGTTCAAAAATAACTTCCAGACTCAGTTAGTAATGACTAAGATTGCTGAATGAATCAAGAGTTTAGACAGACGTCTAAATGATAAAAGTAAAACTTGGTTAAATTATATTAAAACCTTATAAAAAATCTGCGAAATTTGAAAAAAGGTAAAACTATATTAAAGCTTATAAAAATGGTAAAACTATATCAAACATTTAGTAAAAATTTAGTGAAACTAAAGGTTTAAACATTTTGCCAAATCCAAAATAAGTTTAGACAAATAACCTTAATAATAATGACTTACTTCAGAAGAAAAAGAATAGACTTTAAAGATTTATGATCTATTTAATGGAATAGGTAAGTATAAGATTCAAAGGATAAAATATTTTTCAGTATTATCTATATCAAAATTAAGCTAGGATGATATCGACCATATATTGGTCAAGTTTGTGAAATAGTATTTACTGCGTCACTCATGTGACATTGTGAAGTCAGTTCACATTCTCTAAAATAAATTTTAGTCATATGCAAAACCTCTTCGGCTAAATTCGTATATATTAATAAAGTTCGCCTATATCAGGGCTAGTGTTTTTTAATATGTATAATAGTACACCTGAAAAATAAATATGACTCTATACAATGCCATGTATAATTTCCAGGCTGATCATCTCGTGATTTATGGAAACTTGCTAGCATCTGGAACTGTTTTAGAACTGTCATAAAACTGATAAGGATACAATTTTTTATAATACTGAAAATAATTTAGCCGTTACATTATCTCAGAACTAATTAACCGAATTATGACCGGAAAAATCCCAAAGATTCACAAACTGATTTACTCACATGTAAATATACATGACGCCTTCAGTTTTTTTCGTCATAGACCTTCAGAAGAAAAAAGCTTTCTCACTTTCCTTGATCTATTGACCTGGTAGTATATCTGATAGGTTATCCTTTTTCGAATAAATATGGGAAAATGTGCACAAAATATATGCTAATCACTACTAGATATGATATAAATCATGCGAAGCGTCTGGGTAATCTCCTATTAATCACGAAAGATCCACACAGCCTGTATTAGATCATCTTATACTTTGAATTTTTGGCAGTCATCCTATAATAGTACCAGAAAACTATCATAGAACTGATAGAGAGCTAGGATGATTCCTGTGATATGATATATGTCATATATCTCTGATTAAAATAATTTAGCTATTATATTATCTCAAACTAATTTAACCGAATTATGCTATTGGAAAATCTCTTACATGCATGTAAATATGCATATAGCTAGATGTAGACCTTATGTAAACCCTCGATATGCTTGTAATTAAATAAAAATGAGTCTGATATTTTATTATAATATATTTGTTACAAACTGTTATAACGCTAAATATTCACTAAAAATGCTATATATTACTAAAATTGCTATAAGTCTTATTTATTATCCATTATTACATAAAATTATCAAATATGTTCAATCAAACTGTTACAATTATTTTAGATAAAGTTTATAATAAATCTATACCTAAACCTAAAAATCTCCATCCTGAATATGATTTGGAGTATGTTTATAATGTTCAGACTTATAATGATAACTATAGGCTTGAAAAAGTGGTTGAAATATAAAGACAATATGATTATTTATTTATTATTAGACCTTATAAAATACTTCAGCAATAGGCTTTTCGCGTAAGAGGTACTTTGCAAGAGTTACTTTCTAAGCAAGAATATAGTTTATATTATGTATATAGTCTTTTCACCTCATTTGGACAAGGAAAAATAAGACGTTTTATGACTATGATATTGATGGATTAAGAGATATTCCACATAAGTATTGTAGACCTAGTATTCATAAAAGTCAAATAGCTATCTACTTTAAATGCTGGAAATTGATAAAATCACCGAAGTAGAGCCAAGAAAGGTATATTATGATGGATGATACAGATGGGATTATGAAGTAGAGTCTGAAGATTTGATGAAAAATTATTGGGATCAGAAATGTAGAGATAAGCCAATTTGTATTTCACTTGCTAAGCAAGAAATATTTTCACCAGCTTCTTATTGATCCTTGAATTACAAAATCAATATAAGTGAAATATTTATCTCGTCTCGGTATGCAAAACAGAATAACTTGCTACCATCCATAACTATCTTAATTAGCCAAAAGGTGCTACATTAAGATTGAGAAATGTGATAGAAATCACGATTATTTAACTGGACGACTGACTAATATTTTAAATATAAACCATTATTTTATTGATATACTGTATAACTTATTCATACATATTTTTTCTCATATAATTTACCTATTTCAAATTATTTCACTCCCTTAAAGCATTGCTTTTGCAGGAGAAATAAAACATGTAATTTTAACTGGGATGCCTCTAGGGATGGGAATGACTTTATTAGTTCGGTTCTGGTTCTGCGAGTCAAAGTGAGTCGAACTGATCGAACGGCTCTGAACCGCGGTTCTGAGTGACACTCATAACAAAACTGACTCTGATAAAATTAAATTATTTAAAATAAATTAAATAAATTAATTAATATATATAAATCGTTATGTTTACAATTA